TATATATATATATATGTATATATATATATATTATTATAGATGTTTTCTACATATAAACTTTGCATTGTGTGTGTATATATAATATAGACAGAAATGTATTTTCTTCAGCAACAGAGTTAAAGGGTCCCATAATTAATGTCCTGCACAGGAGAAAATGCACAGACATCATGTCACTTGGACAATTTCAACTCATTGCACAGTTTCAAAACAACTTCTGTTGCAGGTGCAACATATTTGCAGTCATAAACGTATGCAGTGCAGTGTAACTAACTTTTCTAAACAATCTGAATCCCATTAAATAAAGGTCACTCTCTACACCCACATATAGCAACACTCGTTAGTGAGCTAGACTAAGAATAAATGTGAGGAAAAGCAGGAAGGCTAAAGATGATGTTGAATACTTCATTTAAGAACTCTACCTGCCTCTATGACAAAATTAAAGTCCTAATGGCCGTGTTAACAGTGAGCTGACGTCTGGGTGACAACATTTAATGAACTCAAAATCATTTATTTATTTTCTTTTTATTAGTTTGCAAGAAAATGTCACGTTTTACACAGTTAAACCTCAGTGACAAACTTTTCAAATAGTGACACTTGCTTTATTTTTCGTGTCTGTACCAAGTATCACAGACGGATAGTGGCGCCCATTCATCTAAATGGAGAAAGTGAATGTGTGTTGAAGTTCAGTTTAAGTGTCTATGTGCTCCACACAGTGGCAAATCTCAGAAGACTCCGGGTCATAAATGTGTTTTTTTCTCCTCCCTGAAGCTAAAACTAGTTATAAAGTGATTTCAGTTCCAAAATTCACTGCTCTGTCTTCAGACGAACTTTCTCTAAATTAGATGATTTTGTCATGTGGCCTCTTGTGAGCACAAAGCCCAGAGCTAGCAAGCAGAGATGTCGATAAAATGATGGGTGCAAAGATCAGCGTTAACAGTGACAGAAAGACACATTTTAAAACCAAAACAAATAGAAATAGCTATTGTTGCTTATAGTTCACACACAGCTACTGCTGTCATCACTGTTAATAATAGTATTTCAGAAGCCACCTCTTGTGCTCTGAGTCTACGTCTCCTCGAAGTGGAAGTGTTTTTATTGTTGTTTCATGATCCCTGATGTGTCATTTCCATTTGTGGAGAGACCAGGTCAGAGAACTCATATTTACCACCGTACTGTTCCTACTGTCACTTCATGAAAGATTCCACCTGCGTTTGCTGACTTGTGTATTTATTAATGTACTTGAGTTACAATTGAGTTTTACCCAAATATGGCCCATTGTCATATTTATTGTAACATAAGTGTACAATGGGAGAGTGCAAAATAGCTGTTGATGGGTTTTTTTCTATTCTGCTAACCTGGACTATACTATATTATACTTTACTATACTAGGTGGCGCTTTGGCCCAGAGGCAAGGTCTCTGTCATTGGTGAGGAACCCCAGGGTTCACCTCCTGGACAAGTTCGAATCCCGGTTAGGGCGGTTAATACCTTCCAGTGGACTCACCACCCGCAGGAAGGTTTGGGGGTTTGGTATGGCGCAATGTGATTTGGGTGGCGACTGCTGTCCCCGCGACCCGGTAACGGATAAGCGGATGAAAATGGATGGATGGATGGACTTTACTATACTCAATAATAGCCAGGACAAAGCTTTTGTAGTGGGTAGCACAGCAAAGCAGATTGATGTTGTGTGCTACATTTGTTATTTGATTACCTGGGTTCAGTCAGAGCAGCAGTTTTGTAAGAAAATTACACTGTTTAAAATAGGATATATTTGCAGAGAAGATTTGAAGAAATAACTCCATATATAAGAGACCTATCTACATAACGTGCACTACTAACAAAGTGTGGGAACCAGGAGTAGTGATTTTCACCTCAGTGATAACTGGTGGTCTTTCTGTGGTGCATTTTTAAGATTACACCTGTTCCCTAACCTCGTCTAAAACATGCAGATTAGGGTTTAAAGTGACTGTTCATTTTAAATTGATAGTAGGTGTGAAAGCGAGTGTCTCTATATGTGACTGAAAAACTCTAGGGTGTGCAAGGTGAAATACTGCTCAATTGGGTTTTAAAATGTTACAGCATTTGTTTAAAACTCCAATATCTCATTTTTTTTCACTCATTATTGACTGAGTGTTTTACCTTTCCATATTAACCTCTCTATATTGCGGTTCTCCTTTCATTCCCTCAGTACATCGCAGATTTGTTGTCGAATCCGATCTTTTTTCTTTCATTTTAAAAATGTGGATTCTCATTTTGAAATTGAGATAAGCCCATTTGTGAACGATCGCCGGTAGCTTTGTTTACTATAGACGAGATCGTACACAGCCTTCTATTGGCTGATACCTACCTGGTGTTCTATTGGCTAATCGAGCATGCTCTTCTGTTCCTCACACTGATTATACAACTCTCTGTGCATATTATTGTGTGGGAAAGGGTAATATAGACTAGGGAGGGTTGATAACAGTGTGGGGGAGGTTTTGTAAAAGGTAAATATATATATGATAATAATATAATAATAAGTGTCTCGCATTTTCCCATTTCGTGGTAAGTCTAGGAACGCAACTACCGTGATAGGAGGGGGATCACTGTATTTCTGAGAATGACTATATTTGAATGAATGTCAGTCTAACCATGGACACAGTTCATAACAGATTGTGAATCTTCATATCCCTCCTCTACCTGACATGAAATAAATAGTGCTGTGTTTTTGGCTGTTTTTTTCGAGAGAGATTTTCTTGCCTGGCTCCATCAGTGCATATACTAAACACATGTTTACATGGCAACACCGTGTCTAGGCTCAGCAGCTGAAATATATTCTAGGCTATGTTGTTGCTGTGCATCGGCACACTGCTGTGGAAGTAGGTCTCATCCCTGGCTCAGCTGCTCACAGGTCAAATGTCACCTAATGATGATTGATGCAGGGCCGACCCGTCCCTCTAATTGACAGCCGTGACGATGCAGCATTGTGAGCTTGTGTGCAAACATGAAGCATTTGAATACATTTTAAACACGGCTCCTGCTGTTTATCTGCAGCCATTCCTCACCAGAGAGAACACAATGGGTTGCACCAAATACTTATCAACCATCACCAAAGCTCCGTTCAGACAGTTTAGCCGCTTGACCGTGATTGATGAAAGGCACTGGACCACAGTGGTGGGAGGGAGCTGGCCACTGGAGCTTAGAGAGGTAATAAGGTGTGATGGTGGTTGAGATATCTGCAGTGAATGTATTAGCGCCTCATCCAGATGAATGTGGACTCTCTTTCTCCTGAGCATCAATCTTATTTTGGATGAAGCACTCTGTCTGATAGGGCCTTACAGCTCACGGCAGTTTCAGAGTCTGGTGGTGATTTATGTTTTCAAAAAGCTTGTCACATCTTGATGATGAGAATTAGGGGGAAAAGAAGACTTCTATTACAATAGAATACATTTGAAATCACTGACAGGGTGTTTTATTGACATTGCAGATTAATCTATTAGCTGTTGTGCGTGACAAAAGCAACTATTAATCAAAATGTGGACCAAGGATAGCTGTTAGACTGATTTAGAGCTACAGTGCAGGACCTTGAGGAGGAAATAACAGAGGAAACAAAGGAACGAGAACTAATTAGGATTCATGGGGCAGTCATAACATGCATTTTAGGAACCATTTTTCTACAAAATCTTTACCCTCACAGTTTGCCCTCACTGCTTCCTGCTCCTGTGGCATTTCCCTGACTCTCTTTTTGTAATTGTCATATTATTGCTTTTTTGACCCACAGGGTGAAGACACCATTCTCTGAAAATGAAACAAATATTTGTCGGACACCTGGAGCCGTTCACTCTGCCGAGATGACCTGTCCACTTTATGACAACGGCACTTTTGTCAAAGGCAGTGGTAAATATCAAGCCACCAATGTACTGTGAAGCTTTTTTTCTGATGATAAGAAATGTTGTTGTAATCTTTTTAACAGCAATTTCAGTTTTAAGACTTTGCTAATGGGTTTTAAGTCCAGTGGTTTCTAACAACTGTTCAGTAGAAAATGATCACATTTCACTTGTTGATTTATTGCAAAAAATGTACCTTTGTTCATCAATGTGACAGTGCCAGATAGAAACTAAGAGAAGAGAGAGTGTGATCTCTCAGAGATCTTCTTGTCTGTCTTTCCTCAATTCCTGTAGGTATCTCAGGGTTGTATTTAACCAAACAGGTCAGGTTTTCATACTGAATAGGTAATTTGAGGGTAAACTGGAACTAGTGAGATATTTTTGTTTGGTGGTACGTCATTGGATTTTTCAAATGTATATTTGCAGTGGCTCAAATAGGTTGAGAGACACAATTTTAGCCAATTTAAACTCCCCTTTCTGTCACTAAAAAGAAGAAGCCGTTTCACTTTCTAAAGCTGCATCTAACTGTAGGTGTTTTCTGCCTCATGACCTTCTTACGTTGCTGTTACAGAGCATAGATTGACCCTTGAATATGTCTCTTAAAGGATCATCGGAGAGCAGTGGTCACCCATATTTATGCACATGTTGGCATGCAGCTGCTCACTCAGAGCTCTTTAAAATGGGCAGGGAATGCTCCACAGTCTTACTTAATGACCCAGCTGCAGCTTGAGTACATTGGGCGCTGAGGTGGCAGATTAAAGCTTTAGCTTTATAAACATTTTCCGGAGACAGTGCTGCTGCGCAGGATAATTCACGTTACACTTGCTTTTCGGTGATCTGTGTTACATGTCCACATCTGGGTTGACAGAGTTCACAGATTTTCACTAATATCTTGTGTTATATTTACTTAAGACTTAGCATCTGATTTATCTGATACGGATATGTTGTTAAATACATAGCAAACATCGCAGAAATATAGACAAATGTTTATGGTGCCAGAGCACTGGTTTAGCTGTTAAAATAATTGCCATAGTACCATGACAATAAATGTATGGAAGAATGTGGATGCTGTAAAATACTCCACTCTACAAATTAGTCATTCTTGGGCTGGGAGATATGACATTTTCTGTATAAATTAGTAAAAGGTTGTTTTTCTTCTCCTTTATTTCCCACAGGGTTTTAAATGGTAAATATATTAAGGTTAGTCCATCTACTAGCAGCCACAAGGCCATGAACTTGATCACCAAAAACGCACTTTAGAGTATGAAACACCTGTGACCTACCAAAGTGCCTGGAGTAATCATTTTTAGGCTATCTTTTGTTGCCGGAGGTTTTGTAGGCTGGCAGCTGTGCTTCTGAGGGAATGGAATATTTCATTCATTTGTATTAAGCGTCAGGCCAAGAATATGTGCTGATGTGAAATATGTCAACTCAACACTGGCCTGAGGGCTCTCCTCGGTACAGGTATTCACTTCAGCACTGTCAGCATTTTAGACCAGCATGTAAACAGGATCATGTACAATGCAGGTGCATATGTCTTCCTGTGTCTGTGGGAGACAACGTCTGGTGGTTGCATCATGCAGTGTATGGGTAGAAGAAGTAATGGACTGCTTTTTACTATTTTCTACTAATATATCATCTAATTATACTTCCTTGATCCATCTATCCATCCGCCCATCTACAAATCCATCCATACAGCCATTCTGTAATTCATCCATGTATTTATCCATCCATCCACCCATCGCTTCCTTTGTTTTCCACTATCAACATCCGTACAAGTTTTCCAGGGTTTTTTCTGTCAAAGAAAAGAACGTTTGTAATTTTCTTATCTCCTTTTTCTTCTGTTCATTTTTCAATTTTTGCAGTCCAATCTATTTATTCTCTGTCTGTCTTGATTCTTCTGTCCCACATTCCTCTGTCTCACTGTAAGCTCCATGTTTGTACGCCTATCCCTCCTTTCTCCATTTAGATATTTCTTTCTTCTTATTGACAGTTTAATTTCCCCCCGTTATATTCCTTTTTGCCCCCCAACCCACCAACTCCTTGATCTATTGTCCCAGCTAATTATTTCATCTTGAATATGTTCAAGTGTCAGTCTCCCATGGTCTCAACTCCCCTCTGCCCTGTTTTATTTATGTCACTTTCAGTCTCTCTCCTCTTATCATTACATGTACATGACATATGCAGCATGATCACTTGCTTGTTCTGTTTTTTGTTTTTTTTCCTGACGCTGCTGCATATTTTCCCTTCCATCTAACATGCCCCTTGGTGTGCACCCCTGAATCATGTAAAGCTCTGGCATTTTCAAAGATTTCTATAATTTAAAAGGTTTGCTTAAATTGCTCAACTTTCTGGAATTCTTAAATTTTTTGTTGTACTGGTGCAGTTTGGTAGAACGTAAATGATTCTCTTTGCTACATTTCATGACATGTTGTGGTGTAAATAACAGACAGTGCATTAATAGGCAAATGTGTTTAATTAATGTGAAAAAAAAATCAATCTTTCCAACACTGTAAGCTCAACGGGGATTATTTACATTTGTTTCCAGCTTTGTCATGCAAAACCACCCACGACTGAGAAGCAAACAGCTTTGACAAAAGCCCGTCTCCATAGCCTGCAGCAAAAAACACAGAAATAAGTGACGTTATTGATTGAGCTGAGCTCTTTGGCGTATTTCTCACAAAAAAAAAAGCTCAGATTGATTTAATTATATTCAAATATTGTACGGTTTACAGTTGTTTATATTTGGTTCCATATTTTAGCTGAGAAATGTTTTATTTACAGAAACTCCAAATGAGCATCATTACAAATCTCTTTTTGTGCCCACGTGATGAAAATTAACAGTTGATGTTCAGGTGATTAAAATATTAATTTTGCCACAAAGTCAAAGCAAAGTGTCTAAATGAGAGCGTGGCCACAGGCCTGTGCTAATTCAAAACCTTTGCATCGTAGGAAATTTGTTCAGAGAAACGATTTGGCATAAAAACCAACAAACACAAAAATGGTATATAATATTAACAAAAAGGCTGAACATGTTAGGCAACAACCGGTTAGGGCGGTTGGTACCTTCCAGTGGACTCAACCCACAGGAAGGTTCGGGGGGGGGGGGGGGGGGGGGGGGGGGGGGGGAAGGGGAACCCCCCCCCCCCCCCCGTCTGCCTGTCATCTCCATGTCCTGGTGCTGGTGCCCTTTAAAACACCTTCTGTGGGCACCTATTTAGGCAACAGTGAACCTGCTCCATGAGTAAAGTCTCTGCAATACAGAAAAGGCCAGGCTGGTGATTAGATTAATAAATAAGCAGAGCTTTTACTTTGCTGCCATTTCAAACTGTCACTGCAGCTGATGCACAGGAGGCACATCAACACCAGGTGAGGGAAACCAACACAGTGTTATGACATCATTAAATTTAATTCCACTCCTCACCTTCCACTTGCATCAGTAAGCAGCGTATACTGTATAGCTGTGTTTAAACAAAGTAGAGAAGATATTCAGCAAAGATAAAGTGATACATCACCCAGTTTCGGGTAAATAAACAGACAGAACAGAACAGTCTTACAAAGACTCAAGTGAGCAACCAGAGAGACATTGAGATAAAATTACCTTTTTTTTCAGGGGTTGCCACAGCAGATCATTGATTTCCATCTCTCCCTGTTCTCTGTATCTTCTAACTATCTGCATGTCCTCCCTCACTACATCCATATATCTCCTCTTTGGTCTTCCTCTCTTTCTCCTACCTGGTAGCTCCATCTCTAACATTCTTCTACCGATGTATCCACTGTCCCTCCTCTGCACATGTCCAAACCATCTCAATCTGGCTTCTCTAGCTTTTTCTCCAAACCTCCCTGTCTGTGTTGTCCCCCTAATGACCTCATTCCTGATCCTGCCCATTCTTGTCACTCCTAAAGAGAATCTTAGCATCTTTAACTCTGCCACCTCCAGCTCCGCCTCCTGTCTTCTGCCTATTGCTACTGTCTCTAAACCATACATCATGGCTGGTCTCACCACCGTCCTGTAAACCTTTCCCTTCACCTTAGCTGACACTCTTCTGTCACAGATCACTCCTGACACTTTTCTCCAGCTGTTCCATCCTGCCTGTACTCTATTCTTCACCTCTCTTCCACAGTCTCCGCTGCTCTGAACAGTTGATCCTAAGTACCTAAACTCCTGCACCTTCACCACCTCTGCTCCTTGTAGCCTCACTATTTCACTGTTCTGCCTTTCGTTTACACACATGTACTCTGTCTTGCTGCGACTGACCTTCATTCCTCTTCTTTCTAGTGCAAACCTCCACCTCTCTAGGTTCTCTTCTAGCTGCTGCCTACTCTCACTACAGATCACAATGTCATCTGCAAACATCATAGTCCATGGGGACTCCTGTCTGACCTCATCTGTCAATCTGTCCATCACCACAGCAAACAAGAAGGGGCTCAGGGCCGATCCTTGATGTAGTCCCACCTCCACTTTGAAGTCTTCTGTCCTCCCAACAGCGCACCTCACTACTGTTGTACTATTCTCATACATGTCCTGCACCAAACTAACATACTTCTCTGCCACTCCTGACTTCCTCATACAAAACCACAATTCCTCCCTTGGCACTTTGTCATATGCCTTTTCTAGATCTACAAATACACAATGCAGCTCCTTCTGACCTTCCCTGTACTTCTCCATCAACATCCTCAAGGCAAATATTGCATCTGTGGTACTCTTCCTAGGCATGAAACCATACTGTTGTTCACAAATCTCCACTTCCTGCCTCTGTATTCTGTATATACTGTACATACAATGTTTAATTTAACAATCCATAATTTAGCTTAGTCACAAATCTGAAATGCATACATCTACTGTACCTGCCACTATTTGTCTTCCTCTTGTAGCACAGTTGAAAAAAAATTCAGTTAATCAACATTGACAGCAAAAAATAACATACAAAGCTGTGAATAAAAAATATGATATTTTGGCTGAACTATCACCATATTTACATAGATGTGTGTACGGTCCACAACACCTTAGACCTGTGTAACAAATGGAACCACTTGTGTTTGAATATTGTAATCTGTAGGACGTACAAATATCCAGCTGAGATCCAATAAAGTAAATGTTTTTGGTTATGTCAGTTGTTTTTGGTTCAGTGACGTCCATTCAATCCAAACATACTGTACAATATTGCTGCTGAAGTCAGAATGAATATTCTGTCAGCCATTAACAAAAACAGCTGGTCTAAGGTGTAGGAGAACCAACTCAAAGTTAGCTGAAGAACAGATAGACCAGCTGGTCTCCTTTGGTGGGTTACCATGGTAATGGGGATTTGACCTTATTTGTGTGTACCACATCCACTGCCACATCACAGCGAGTAAAACACACTGGTTAATAAATGAAGTATACATCATCCAGCTATATGTTCACAGAGTCAGTGATGTTGTTTTGCCATTCCCACACATGTATTGCATATATACACACACATGCCAGAAGAATTTAGAAAACCTGCTGTGCTTGATGTTTCTGTTGCCCCTTCTCTCCAGTTTGCTTTCCAAACCCAGGGGAGGTCTCCTGTGTGCTCCATTAGTATAGGTTCTATCCACAGCATGTGGCCTCTCATCAATCTTCCACTTAAAATATGCAAATTTTATACAAAGATGGAAGAAGCTTAAATCCCAAGACTGTAATGTTAATTCCATGCTAGTTTTTTGTTTATTATTATTATTATTATTATTTGTCCATTGTATTTTCTCAGGCAAAGCACTATTCATATACATCAATGGATTATTGTCAGATGTAACCTAGATGTAGCTGAGGTCACATCAGCTTAATCAGTGTTTTCTCTGTTAGGACTGATCACCTCCCTCCCCCTGCCTCCTCTCCTCCCTCTCTAACTCTCACTCACTCCCCCCTCCCTGTAATCCTCACACTGAACAACTCTTGCATCTACTGCAGATGCAGTCTTAATAGTATATACATACAGTATAACAAAACCAAAATCAAAAGAAACAAAACATGGATGGGGTCTCCAGTATCTTGCATTGTAGCCAACCTTTACATGGAGGAAGTAGAACACACTAGAAAATTTTCTACAAAATTTTCTGAAATTTTTTTTTCTAAAACTTTTTTGAAAAATATTTAAACATTTTCTTTTTCATAAAATGTTTAGGAAGAAAAAATTGTCAGAAAATTTTCAGAAATAAAATTTTTTGTAAAGAATTTTTTTTTAAAAAACAAATGTTTCAGAAATTTTTTTAGAAAATGTTTTTTTCAGAAAATTTTCTTAACATTTTTTTTAATATTTTCTTTTTATTTTTATGGATT